CATAAGACAAAATCGCCGCATGGCTAGTCTTTTTCATATTTTTCTTTTTCTTCTTTAAAATTTGTAATTTTTTTCTTTCATATGATTTTATGATTCTTTTGATATTCTTAAATCAGTATACAAACTATTAGATCCAAACAAATAAAAGCATATTGACAAAGGAATCGAATAAAACGATGGTGAAAAACTCTTAAAATCTAAGAGACATGGTTTTTGTCATTGTTGCTTCGTACCGGTTCACTGGTTTTAGCCAAATTTTTTATCCGGATTTGCCGTTTTTATTTTTTGTGATGACCCAAACTGGATAATCTTCCGATTTACGGTTGATGCGGTTCAACCAGCTGGTCTGGTCTGGTTTTGAAAACATTGATGAAAAGTTAGCCAAAGACCATGGTTGAAACTTTGGAAGCACCATAGAGTATATCGATCAACATAGAAAACTAATTACAAAATAAAAGGGATAGGGGAAAGATAGAGGCGTCTTTAAGAGATGGAAGTCGATATGCACTAGAAACAAAGTGACAAAGGATGAATCCATCCTTTGTGAAGTTCTCCACAACAACAATGTTGTTAAGGCAATCAAAAATTCCATCATTTGTGGTAAAGCAACAACTATTCAAGTGGATGAGATCTCTTATGATACAAAGAGTGAAAACGATGAGTATTCTCTTAATAGTCTCGATTTAACTGAAGTTGCAAATACTTCGACCATCATGTCAAGGAAGAAAAGAAGCTAAACAAGTAAAACAAAGAAACATTGTTCTTAACTCATTGATTTAATGTTTATAAAGAAAATGTTTTGATTGATCTCTTCGGGAATTTTTTTTTGTAGACAATAAGAATCTTTAGAATTTCTAAGGTTATTTGGATGATATAAATATTCTATAATTTCATACATGTCTGAATCATAGAAACTAAATTTTAGTCCTGCGGGATTAGAATATTTAAAAATAAAAAATCATAACTTTTTTATAAATATACGGAAGAAATTAAAACCTATATAGATAAATATATTTTATCTTACAAAATTTATCCGCATGACACTTAGATTGAATATAAGCGTTTTTATATAAATTGAATACGTTTGAGACTATGAGTTATCTCAAACTTATTTGAGTTCACCTAACCTAAAAAATATCGAGTTAGTATGTAAATTTTCTT